CTCATCTCTACAATAAATCAAAAAATTAGCCGGGTGTGGTAGCGCGCACCTATAGTTCCAACTACTTGGAAGGCTGAGGTGGAAGGATCGCCGGAGCCCAGCAGGTCGAGGCTGCAGTGGTTGGGAGCGTCCACTGCACTCCAGTCTGGGCGACAGAGTGAGACTCCAACTCAAAAAAAAAAACAAACAAAAAAACATAAAGTTTTACTTCTTCTGTATGAGAGAAGTGTTTTTATGTAGGACAATGAGGATAGGTAACATGCTCAGACACGCACAGTGGGGAGAATACGGCAGAGCTGAGGTTCAAATCTAAGCCTATGTGCCCCTACTGCTTCATTATACCTTCCGAAATCCAGCCCTTCAGTATGGCCTCCAGGCCTCCACCTAGCTCCCCCATATATCCAGCTGTGCCTCACCCGTGTACCTTGGCTCTTGCTGGTCCCTTTGTCTGGGACAACTTGCCATGGTCCAGGATCACTGCCTGGAAGCCTTTGTTGATGCTCTAAAACTAGGGTAATGGGCTTTACTCTTTGCTCTCCATAGTCCTTTGGGGACTATTCATTTATTCAGTGCTTATTCCAGGGTCCATTTAGTACCCATGTCAGTTAAATAGATTTAATTAAAACTTTTTTTTTTCTGAGTTCAAGTCCCACTCTGTCACCCAGGCTGCTGGAGTGCAGTAGCACACTCACAGCCACTGCAGCCTTGACAACTGAAACATTTTCCAGACCTTTTTATTTTGAAATAATTTCATACTTAAGAAACGTTACCAAAATAGTACAAAGCATTTCTGTATACTCCTCACTTAGATTTCCCAAATGTTAACATTTTAGGCTGGGTGCGGTGGCTCATGCCTATAATCCTAGCACTTTGGGAAGCTGAGGTGGGAGGATTGCTTGAGCCCAGGAGTTCAAGACCAGCCTGGGTAACAAACTGAGACCTTACCTCCATACAAAATTAAAAAAAAAAAAATAGCTGGGTATGGTGGCATGCATTTGTAGTCTCAGCTACTTGGGAGGCTGAGGCCAAAGGATCGCAGGAGCCCAGGAGGTCGAGGCTGCAGTGATCCAGGATTGTGTCACATACTCCAGACTGGGTGACAAAGTGAGAACCCAACTCAAAAAATAAAAACAAAAAATTTTACCGTGTTTACATTCAGATCTTTCTCTCTCTATATATATTTATATATGCTAATATTACATCTAAGTATAAATATATTAAATATTTAAATATGTTATTTTTTTGTGTGTGAACCCTTTGAGAGCAGGTTGTAGACATAATGTCTCTCTTTTTTTTTTTTTTTGAGTTGGAGTCTCACTCTCTCCCAGACTGGAGTGCAGTGGCATGCTCCCGGCCACCGCAGCCTCAACCTGCTGGGCTCCGGCGATCCTTCCACCTCAGACTTCCAAGTAGCCGGAACTACAGGCGTGCGCTACCACGCCCAGCTAATTTTTTTATTTATTGTAGAGATGAGGTCTCTCCAAGTTGCCTGGGTGGGTCTCGAACCCGCGGGCTCAGGCAATCCACTTGCCTCGGCCTCCCAAAGTGCTGGGATGACAGGTTGAGCCACCAAGCCTGGCCAACATAATGTCTCTTTACTCCTAAATATTTTAGTGTGTCGGTGTATATTTCCTATAAACAAGTAATTCTTTTACATATTCATAAGACAATTATCAAAATCAGGAAATTGACATTGATATAGTACTTTTATTTTATTTTTATTTTTATTTTTTTGAGTTGGAGTCTCACTCAGTTGCCCAGACTAGAGTGCAGTGGCCGCTCCCAGCCACCACAGCCTCCACCTGCTGGGCTCCGGCGATCCTTCTGCCTCAGCCTTCCAAGTAGCGCGTGCTACCACGCCAGGCTAATTTTGTTGATTTATTGTAGAGATGAGGTCTCACCAAGTTGCCCAGGCGGGTCTCGAACCCGCGGGCTCAGGCAATTCGCTCACCTCGGCCTCCCAAAACGAGGGATTACAGACTGAGCCACCGAGCCTGGCTATTTTTTAAATTTTTAATTTTTTTAAGTCTGAGTGTCACTCTGTTACCCAGACTGGAGTGCAGTGGCATGCTCATGGCCACCGCAGCCTTGAACTACCAGGCTCAGGCAATCCTTCTGCCTCAGCCTTCCAAGTTGCTGGAACTACAGGCATGTGCCACCATGCCTGACTAATTTTTCTTGATTTATTGTAGAGACGAGCTGTCACCAAGTTGCCCAGGCTGGTCTTGAAACCCTGGGCTCAGGCAATTCTCTCGCCTTGGCCTTCCAAAGTGCTGGGATTACAAGCATGAGCCAACCGTGCCCAGCCAATATAGTACTTTTTTTTAATTTTAAAAATTATTTAATTTGGGAGAATAGATTCTAATTGCCCTGAATATACACTCTCAAATATAGTACTTTTACTCAAATTTTTTCAGTTGTCCTTATAGAAAAAGATATCTGGAAGGCAGAGGCGGAAGGATCAGCCTTGACCTGCTGGGATCAGGTGATCCTTCCACCTCAACCTTCCAAGTAGCTGCAACCACAGGCATGGCCACCACACCCGGCTAATTTTTTTGGTTTATTGTAGAGACGAGGTCTTGCCAGGTTGCCCAGGCTGGTCTTGAACCCACGGGCTCAGGCAATCCACTCACCTCAGCCTCCCAAGCTGCGGGATTACAGGCTGAGCCACCAAGCCCGACTGGAATAGTCCTTTAGTCTTTGTCTATGACTTTGGCATTTTTGAAGCACATGGACCAGCTGTTTTGTAGAATATCCTTCAGTTTGCATTTGTTGGGTATTTCATGATTAGATTCAGATTGTGTGGGTTTTTTTTTGAGTTGGAGTCTCACTCTGTCACCCAGGCTGGAGTGCAGTGGCATGCTTACGGCCACCACAGCCTCAACCTGCCGGGCTCAGGTCATCCTTCCACCTCATTCTTCCATGTAGCTAGAACTACAGGTACATGCCATCACGCCCGGCTAATTTTTTGATTTATTGTAGAGATGAAGTCAGGTCAAGTTGTCCAGGCTGGTCTTGAACTCTTGGACTCAGGCAGTCCTCTCACCTTGGCCTCCCAAAGTGCTGGGATTATAGGCATGAACCACCACACCTGGCCCAGGTTATGTGTTTTTGATGGGAATTCTGCAGTAGTCATGCTATATCTGCAGTGTATCACCTCATGAGGTATGTGATACCCAGTAAAATCTTTTTTTTTTTGAGTTGGAGTCTCACTCTGTCACCCAAACTGGAGTGCAGTGGCCGCTCTCGGCCACCGCAGCCTCAACTGCTGGGCTCCGGCGATCCCTCC